CATGCGCTCGACCCTTCAAGCCTCGATCTCTCGAGCTTCATACTCGACCTCCTTTGCCATTGTGCATGTCGGCACCCTCGTATACGGGCTCGTGTACGTCTCTTAGGCCATGCAAGCCTTGTTGCGCCCTTTGCTTGGCCTTGTTCATTAGCCTCGGCCCTCGGCCTTTCTCATCATCAAGGGTCGATTCCCACTTCCGCATCACGGGGCAGCAGCGCGCACGGGCAGCACGCGCAGGGATGCCTATATAAAGGCCCTTTCCCTTGTTAATTTGATCATCGAAGAATTAATACAAAACCCCGAACTTGTATTCAAACACTTTGCCTTAGATTTCTTCTTGATTTCATTTGCAATTTTATTCATTTAGAGGGGTGCAGTTTGTGAACCTCTGAACACCTATCGGCAATTCAAAGCACGAGTTTGTGGCTTATCGATAGTCAGACCACGCGATCTTCATCAGCGCGCCCACGTTGCTGGCATCCTTTTCGCGCGTGTCCCAGGCACTTGCCGCGTCTTCGGCATTCGCCGCATCCCATGCACTCCCGCCCAAGCACTTGTCGCGCGCACGTCATCTCCCGTCATCTACGTATCCCGCTCGTGCGCCTTCTGCACGCCCACGCCCGTCGAGGCCTGCTCGTCTGTCTTGCGCGCTTGTCGCGCGTCATCGCTCTTGGTCTCACGTGCCTCGCGTGCGTTTCCCTCAAGGGCTTGCGTCTCGCCCGTAGCTCAGGCTAACCTCTTGCATGCATGATAGGCGCGGCTTGAGGTGTTCTTGAGCTGCCTAGACACATTCGCATCGCGCGGCTGGGGAGGATCGTCGGCGGCTGAGAATGGTCGCCGTTGTTCGATTTTTTTTTTAGACGGAAGCTGCTTCTCCGGTGATGGCGTATACGCTGCTATGGTGGTCGCGTGGCTGAAAAGGCCTGCTGGTGACGTGAACGGGAAACTTTGACTGCTACTAGCGACAAAAGGGCTGAGAAAAAAAATATAAAAGTGACGAGAAAGGGGGAGAACTCTTGTCTGCTAGTTCCATTGAATTTGGGGAAAGGAAATTGATTTCTTCTTTAATCGGATTTGCAGAAGATGATTTGATGAAAGAACAAAGGAATTCTAGGGGAATTGTCGCTGCTTACTGTGTGTGATGGATGATGGGGTTTTCTGCTCAATTGCAGCGTGAAAAGAGAACGAGCTGAAGGTTTTCTCCCACTATTAATATTTAATCCCTCAAAACATCTCAAGGAAAGAATACATATATATATATATATATATACTAGATTTCGTGACGCCGTGCACGCACGGCGGTCTAACACCCCGTGTAAAAATACAACAAAAAATTGTCCTAAGTTGTTGCAGCTTTTATTATAGCGTATGTTGGATTTGTTGAGATGTATTATTTATTTAATGGAAATGTTTTAGGATTTTGTTCTCTTGACTTTCGCAAGTGGTTTATGAGTTGTGTGGTTGTTTAAATCCGCGTACAGTTTAAAAAAGTCGAAGAAAATAAGGATAAATAGGTGCAAGAACAAAAAATGTAAGCAACGTCTACGGAAAGACTTGTTTTCGAACATGGCACCATTATTTGATGTGGATAACATATATTTATCGCCTCATCGTGTTTTGAAGCAAAATCAAACACGTTTAAAAAAGTCGAGGGAAATAAGTGTAAATACGGGCAAGAACGAAAATGTAAGCATCGTCTTCGCAAAGACTTTTGTTGGAACACGGCACCATGATTTTATGTGGATTACATATATTTATTGCTCCATCGTGTTTTGAAGCAAAATCGTACACGTTTAAAAAAGTCGAGGAAAATAAAGGTAAATAGGGGCAAGAATGAAAATTGTAACCAACGTCTCCAGAGAGACTTTCGAACACGACACCATTATTTGATGTGGATAACATATATTTGTAGCCTCATCGTGTTTTGAAGCAAAACACGACACCGTTATTTGATGTGGATAACATATATTTATCGCCCCATCGTGTTTTGAAGGAAAATTGTACACGTTTAAAAAGTCGAGAAAATAAGGGTAAAAAGGAGTAAGAATAAAAAATGTAAGCAACGTCTCCGAAAAGACTTGTTTTCGAACATAACACCATTATTTGATGTGGATAACATATATTTATCGGCTCATCGTCTCACGCCGTGCACGCACGGCGGACTCAAATTTAGTCTAAAAATATAGTGAAAATTTGTCACCACTTCAACGATCAATCAAAAACACTAATTTATGTTTGTAGTCGAAACATAATTGAGATAAAACACTTGTTGTAGAGAGTTATAGACAAACATGGCCGACTCAAATTTAGTCTAAAATATAGTGATAATTTGGCATCACTTGCAATGATTGGTCGATACCAAAAAATCACTTCTTATGCTCCTTGAGTAACTTCTTTAGATCATACTCAAATAATTTTCAAAATCCATGAAGAAAAGGAACAAAAAAAGAACTGGAATCCACCTTCCATCACCGTCGAGAAATCATTTTCTCCGGAATAGAACCCTTTGTTATTAACTCATATTCTTTCTCCGGAATAGAACCCTTTGTTATTAACTCAAGAATATGAGGTAGATCTTGATGAAAAACTAAGAGCCAACACCATGGAAGGACGCCAAGCCGGTCTGTTTCTTGAAGTTCTCCGGCGAACTTGTCTTCATAGCTCGACTCGCCATTGGTTCGAAAAATTGAATTCATCGATGAAAAGGAAATGTGTCTAAAGGTCCAACAAGAAGCCAAACATTGAAGCTGAGGGCAAGAAATCAAACCTGCATGGAGAAGTTAAAAGTCATAAACTCTACCACATGTTTCAATCCATAATAAGCACCACCAACTCCAATTTCAGCAAATCCAGCCTAGAGGAGAAATAAATGGTTCAGCACCAAGTTTTACCACATAACTCAGAAATAAATCACAAGTAAAAGACCAAAGCCAACCTCAGCTGACCCTCTGAGGACCATATTTGTTCAGCAGCCCTTTGGAGATCTAATGAAAATATTTTAAATTAAATCTAGTTTGCCATAAAATATTTCATTATAGTATGGAGATTGCAGTTGAACTAAAACTCACCTTGTAAGCACCCAGATCACTGACCTGTATATGAGCACTAAATAAGTCAACATATATCACGCCATTCAGAAACAAAATGCATAAGATAGCCTTATTCCATCAATAGAAAATTTTGATATTTCCACAGTACCTCTTCCCACATTAGAAAAACTTTGGGATTAGCGGACATTTCTTCGTCAAGTGCTGAATTTAAAGCATCACGCACCGTCACGCACCGTCACGCACCGTCATCTGCAACAAATGGCAATGGAAAACATAACTTCACCACAACAGAGTACATGTAACATGTAATAGATAAATCACAAATTATTTGCATAGGCCTAAAGTGAAAAAATGAGGTGCCTCTATTGATTCTTGTACTCTATCAGTCTATCACTCAAGCCTAAAACTTTGAAGCCAGCTTTTACATATAACTTCTGCTTCCTAATCAACCCCCGTGTCCCAAATCGCACATAGAAAGTTCTCTTACGAAACAGCAGAATAGCTCTTGCTTGTTGGGTAATGAGTAATAGAGTATCAAGCAACAAGGCGTAGGAGTGACTTTATGTCCTTGAAGCCTACCCCTGCCCTTGAGCTTGTGTCGAAAAATCAGCGTATAAGATCATGGTTGAATTCAAACACCATAAAAATGCGCTTCAAATCCAAAGGCCAAGAAGCACAATATTTTTAGGTAATTTACTAATTTAGCCATATCTATTGTTTCCCACCATGCAAACATATATCGACATCAAATACAAATCTAAAGGTCCAAGAGGCAAGAAGCACAAAGTTTTCATGTAATTTAGGCACATCTAATGTTTTCCACCACATAAACACAAATCTACATGAAACAAAATTTCCAACTACGATATACAGTCATTACCTCCTTTGCAGAGGAAGAAAAGGTCCTTAACGCAATCGACCGAATTCCTTGTTCCAAACTCTATGAAGCCAACAAGGAAATAGAAAAAAAAAAAAAAGGAAAAAAAGAAAAAAGAATTTAACAACCCGGTTAAAACCACAACTCAATTGAGATAAGTAAATCAGAAAAAGTACATAAAACTTAGAAACCGCCATATTACCAAAGCACGACAGCCTTTGCAGGTTGGTCTTTGCCTTATAAGCCCCAACATATTTTTCCCCTATGTTTTCGGAAAATCCCTGATTATCGTCACGAAAACACAAACAGATCATGAACACACACATGAACACATCAATATCAGATTAAATCGCACAGGCACAAAATCGATCTGGAAAAATACAACAGCGAACAACAGCCAAGCACACAGAAACAGACATGGTCGCAGGAACCATTGAATTTTATTTGGTTCTGAAAATTGTTGTGGAACTCTTCACTCCAATCAAGCAGCCAACATGACAGCGAGGACAAGTGGCCGTGTAAGGTCTGGTCGGTCGGGAAGTTCTTGTGGCACAACACACTGGTGGATCACAAAAACTACCCCATCGGACAATTTGATGACATTTAGTGTAGATCACAAAAACTACCCAGCAAGAGTGGTACATTATAAAGCTTATCACAAACTTTTAAGGAGATATTAGTTAATTTAGTTGACAAGATAACTTCAAAATTTAATAGTTTCTGTAATTATCGCTAATAATTAGTCTAAACACGCAACATATAGCAGCAGGTGTAATCTTCCACTGACACAAAATAAACCAGATATATTTAACATATTAGGCTAAGCACAACCTTGAGGGCACTCAGAAAGAAGCTGCTGCTTAATATTAGCAATTGTAGTTGATGAAGAGTATAATCCATGACCTATGTTCGTCGCCTAAAATAATTTTGTATAACTTTGAGCTGCTTGTCTTCTTCTGCCATTAGCAAACCATCCCCACTATTGCAAAAATACAAGACCCTAAACAACAATGCTCAGAAAGCAACTTGAAAATAATTCAATTATCCCATCCAGCATAGGCTGGTAGAGTTAACTAATCCGGTAGCGAGGCTTCACCTGCCCAATGAGAATTGAATCATCAACCTTATGTAAGAGTCACGACCTAAAGTAATGTCAAATTTAGTGAGCAGAGAATACACTCACCACAAGATTGTAGCTTTGAATCACACCATGAGAGAGTCAGCACCAAATGTGCCTCCGGGAGGCAGAAAGATCCAGGAACTCCGATGAAGCGGCGCCTAGCAGTTTGATCAGGTGACTTGTCTTGTGAACGCCAAGATCCTGGTACGACGGGAAAGCCTCTGGGGACATTCTTACCTCTCTGGTTAAAGAAGCAGCGGCGATGCCTCGGGTGAGGAGGGCTTTGAGACCATGATCAATGGCGTACTCGTATTCCCTTCCGCTTGGTGGAGGAAATGAGCTAGCCTAACCTTCTGGTGATGACAATTTGCATCGATAATGCAAAATCAAAAGCCTTGGAGAACGCCATCTGTACATGTGAAAAACAAAAATTGCAGTACCGGTATAAAGAGACAAGTTATGACGCTCATCAAAATAATATTACCTCTTTCACCAACAAGCCTTTAACCCGATCGTACTTGTCATCGTTTAGCATGTCAATCTGAAATAGATTTTATGATCAGTTGCTTCCCTGAAAGCCTACACGTAATGAAGAGTGAGAAAATAGAGAAGCATTGGCAACTACTTTCATCAAAATGGACTTGAACAAACACAAACTATAAGGAGCATCTGCTCACAAATTTTTTATCGAGTGTCGACTTACCGGACCATAAGACCACCGGAAGCCATAGCTCTGCTGACCAAGATGATTATCTGGAACAACAAATGACCTAGCCAGAAAACGAACCTGCCAAAGCGAATTCAGATGAGAGGTTAACATCTTATTGTGAAAAAATATATAATAGTAATAAAAAAAAAAAAAACTGAAGCATGGCAAGGGATATAACATAAAAAACACTCGTAAGATGAAAAATATTTTATCTAGTCGTGTTCTTAATCTTAAAACTATATTTACAATGATTAAAAATGCATCCAGGGAGAAGAACAATGTTAGAACCAAACTAACATCCAAAGTCATAAAGCATGAGCAATAAAATATGTACAAAATCTGCATATTGTTTTCAATAATTACTTGAATTAAAATTCTAATAAAACCAAGAGAAAAGTAAAAAACAAAATAAAGAAAAAATTGCTACCTGATCGCCACAGAAATTTTCCAGAAACTTCTGCGTGACATAAACTTCAGCAAAAGCTTGTTGGTAACTCTTCGTAGACACCCTTTGTTTCAACTTGGCAAAGAATTCAGAAATCTAGAAGCACAAGTCCTTTTTATTTTTCAAAAAATAATAAATATAATTTGCGGAAATAAAAAGATCTTTATCAATATGAGACATCATCACCTCAGGCAGTGATAGTTTATGAGCTGCTTTTGTGGTTACGTCTCCAAGCATCACGTACCTGAGACATGGGTTTTTGTAAGGTTGTTACAACAACAAAAAAGTCGAAAGTCTCGTAGGGCAAAATAAAAAGGTATAAAACTGCAGAATAAACAAAACAAGCTAATGATAACCTCTCAGATGCTTTGAATGGATTGTGCAGACCGTGTTTGGGACAACTGGACAAGCTCTCGACAAAAGGCTGCATAATTTATGATGAGTTGGGGGGAGATTTCAATACTAATCATTATTTTTGAGTAAATATTGAATTATGTGAAAAAAAACAGCAATCAGGAGATTCAGGACACGCCTTTATTTCATTCTCATCAACTTCAGAAACCTCAATAAACAGTTCGCCATTTAAAGGATCGGGAATATTGTTCCAACGAAGAGATTTTGTCCAATTACCCTGCACTAATAAAGAGAAAAGGAGAACATTGATTCTCTTTCCCACATAGAAATCAAAAAGAAGAAATATAAAACAAAAAATAACTCTTGAAACAAATGCAATAATTGCATTTAAATTAGGGTATCCTTTGGCGAGCTCATTACTGCATTGTTTAGAGTGCTAAACAATCAGCTTCGTCGTCACCTCCAGTGGCGGGACGACCGGCCACCTGCCCGTAGCTCGCTCCGATGAAGGGCTCAGAATCCTGACGCAGATTAATAAAAAAATGGTCCTTCAGGGATGCGTGGTGGATCCACATGAACCACCTGTATCGGCGAACGTTGACGTACCTTTGGGTGGAGAACAAATGAGTGCACCAGTCGTCAAGGGAAAGTTCGCATCGATCTACCAGAAACAGATCTTGTAGTCCTGGTGGGGATTCCACAGGAGCAGGCTTAGGACTGCCTTCCGTGCTCTTTATTTGAACGCGACCACCAGATACCTTCTAAATATCCCAGCCCATCCGAACCTCAGCACATACCATTTAAGGCATCAACACACAGACAACTTTTCACCTTCCGAAAGAATCACACACGAAAAAGAACAAAAGAATAAAAAGCCAACCGTTTGTCACTAAAACTCAGCTTCTTTCATGTAAGATATGTAATTAGAACACATATATTAGCAATAGTAAAAAAATAGAACAAAAAAAGGATATAAATTGGACACAGTAACACAGAGTCGAAGATTCATATAGAAACTTTAAACAAAAAATTATAAATAACACTCGCAAGAAGATATCTGAGCTTATAACCTCGTCCTACTTTTCCTAGCTAGTTCATGTTAACCTCTTGATGCAATATGTTTGCAATATTTGTTGCTTATTATTTGGACAAAATTTTTCAAACAACAAATATTGAATTTGCTATAATCGCTAAATCCTTTTGTCCCTTTATAAATTAATTAAGTAATTTCATTGCTTTCTTTCGTAAGACTTGTCATTTGTCAGTTAACTTGGGTTAAAGACCTGTTTGAGTGGGCATTAAAAGCTTATATGTGTTAATTGAAGGTCTCAAATCTTTGATACATATATTACAATTGATTTTTATCGTTCTTCTATTTAAATTTTCAGATGGCTGCACATCGTGCCTTCCACTTTTGCAAGCAATACAAGCGTACGACAGAGCTTCGGAGATTGTGTGAAATAATTCGAAATCATCTGGCAAACCTTTACAAGTATAGTGACCAACGGGATAGGCCTGATCTTACCGATCCTCATAGCTTTCGGTTGTATCTATGTAGCAGAACTGAGCAACTTAAAGTTGCTACTGAACTTGAACTTTGGCAGGTTTGTTGTGCTCTTTTCACTTGTGCATGCAGTTTAAAATGAGTGATAGGTTTGTGACGACAACGTGTATACCAGACTTGATTCTCTACAAGTCGATTAATTTTTGTTGTTTCTGGATTTGCAGGAGGCATTTCGTTTAATTGAGGACATATATGGACTGATGTGCATTGTTAAGAAAACACTTAAACCTGAGATGTTGATCTTTCTATATTATGAGCTTTCTGTAATTTTCTAGATGACATCCAGCCATCTTTATCATGCTTATGCATGGCTTAAGCTTTTCTCGCTTCAGAAAAGGCACCTAAATGAGGAGGACTTACAGTTAACAGCATCAGAAGCTGTTTTAGCTGCACTTTCTGTACCTCCTTATGATTGCTCATATGGTGCATCTCATTTGGAGCTTGAAAATGAGAAAGAGCGGAATTTAAGAGTTGAAAACCTTATGGCTTTTGATGTTGAATCCAAACCTCAGAATAGAGAAGTGGTAACAGTCTTGGACGAACCTCTTGCTTCATTTATATAGCTATTTAATTGATTGCCTCTTTTAATTGGTTTTTTTTTTTTTTTGGTTTCAGCTTTCAAGGTATCTCAATCTACGTTTGAACTAAAATTCCAACACCTAGAACATCAATTTATTCATCATATGAATAATATGAACCCAAATCTTCCACTACAACAATTATCAAAACACGCAATTGCTCTCGAAAACACAACAAACGGGTGTTTCAGGCAGAAGAATCCAATGAGAGAAATCTCAAAATAAATGAAGCAGCGAGAAAACAGCATGAACTGAAAAGAACAATACTGCGAAGCTATTTGTTCTCACCTTCCCAATCGGATCCTTCTTCATGAAACTTGAGCAACGGCGCAACAGTTTGTGGCGTGGGAACAAAAATTCGTCCTCGTCCTCACTGAAGAAGCACATCGACACGCTGACATCTGAGGAGCCTGCGTGGGTCGACGGCTACGTGACCGGAATTGGACAGGTACTGAGGGAGGACGAATGGTCGGAATCAGGGGTGCTGGTGTCGGGTTTATTTGATAGCGGGATGGTAGTCAACAACCAGATGATAATGGACACCTTGCCGCTGAAAGCGGATTGATTCTCCGATGAGCTAGAGTTGAGCTTCGAGGAGGTGTCAGATGCCCTGGGGCTCGATTCTCGGCGGGAGAAGGTGAAGAAATCCATGATAAAGTCTTTGTCGGAGCTGGCGGAGTGGGCGAACTGGTAGTCAGTCATCGTCCGCATCTTCATTGTAGTTCCTTTGGAGAATTGTAAATGAGAGTAATTTGGTTGGGTTGGGTTTTTTAAAGAGGGATTTACCTGCTCCTGTCTTCATCTAACAACTTGTGTGTGCGGGAATTGCGCGAGAAAGGAATTGTGTTGACCCGGGAATTCTGAAAAAATGGTACAAAGAAATTAAATTCACATTGAAAATTCACATTGATTGAAAGCCACTAAATGGGCGAGTAAAAAAGTTTGAATTACCAAAAAGACTCATACCTTGTAGGGATGTATTCAATTTGGTCTTTGACTGACTTGATAGTTGCGTGCAAGAGCAGTCTTCAGCAGTAAAAGTAAATCAAATGTAAAATTACGATGACACCCCCCTTTAAAGACAAAGTAGAGTCATCTAAAGGGCAATTTAGTCATTTCAAAAAAGGGGCAATGAGGTAAATTAAAAGGGACACGTGTCAACTTCTTAAGGGTACTAAATGGGACACGTGTCGGCTTTTAAAGCACCCTAACTTATTCATATAAGATATAAGAGAGATATATAGGGATTAGATTCAATGAGTACACATATTTAAAGTGTGAATGTGAGACTCATTCCTAGCCATTAGATTGGTACATTATGTGTGGCTAAGATTAACTCTTCAATTAAATAATAATTCTTTATTTTTATTACTTATTTCTTTATTTTATTATTTTAATTATTTAAATATTATTTTGACAATTGACCATTGACTTCGGTGTTGACCGTTGACTCTGGCGTTGACCGTTGACTTCCGGCATTGACTTCCGACGAAAATCATTGACTTCCGGCGTTGACCGTTGACTTCCGACGTTGACCGTTGACTTCCGGCGTTGACTTTCAACATTGACAGTTGACCCTTAACATGCATTGTGTATGAAGTAAATATGCATCAGTACTATGCACTTAGTATGAACTAAATATGCATAATAAATGAATTATATATGTTATCCTTATGAACTAAATATGCACCAGTAATATCAACTATGTATGCACTGTTTATGTACTAAATATGCACATTTTACTAACTAAATATGCATCAGGAATGAACTAAATATGCAACGAAAATATACATTTTATACAATTAAATTAAATATAATAACTAATTATTTTTATTATATAATTAATTTTAATTTTAAATTGATTAATAACACAAATAAATTGTTATGATTGGATCTCAAATAAAATAGGTATACATTTAGTATGAACTAAATATGCATCATAATTGAATTATATATGTTATTCTTATGAACTAAATATGCACCAGTAATATGCACTGTTTATGTACTAAATATGCACATTTTACTAACTAAATATGCATCAGGAATGAACTAAATATGCAACGAAAATATGCAATAAAATATACATTTTATACAATTAAATTAAATATAATAATTAATGATTTTTATTATATAATTAATTTTAATTTTAAATTGATTAATAACATAAATAAATTGTTATGATTGGATCTCAAATAAAATAAGTATGCACTGTTCATGAACTAAATATGCATTTCGTAAGAACTAAATATGTATCATGAATTACGTAAATATGCATAATAAATTATTTATATAAATATTATTAAATATTTAAATGAAATATAACAAGTATGCATTTCGTATTAACTAAATATAGATCATAAATTACCTAAATATTCATAATAAATTAACTAAATATGCATCATAAATTACCTATATAAAAATGTACATTTTTATTGCATATTTTTCGCTGCATATTTAGTTCATTCATGATGCATATTTAGTTCATAACAGATGCATATTTAGTTCATAACAGGTGCATACTTAGTTGATATTACTGGTGCATATTTAGTTCATAAGGACTGCATGTTCAATTCATATCCCATGCATATTTAGTTCATATTGAATTCATGGTACTGGATGCATATTTACTTCATACATATGATGCATGTTAGGGGTCAACGAGTCAACGCCGGAAGTCAACGGTCAACGCCAGAGTCAACGCCGGAAGTCAACGGTCAACGTCGAAAGTCAACGATTTTTCGCCGGAAGTCAACGGTCAACGTCGGAAGTCAACGGTCAACGTCGGAGTCAACTAATAATTATTTTATTATTTAATTAATATATATTTTAAGGAATGTACTCATTTAAGGAGTGTACTCATTTTAAGGAGTGTACTCATTGGATCCTCCCCCTATATATATATATATATGCTAGGCTTTTATTTGATTTTTAGTCAAATAAATGGGAACCCTAATTATACACACACACACACACACACACATATATATATATATATATATATATATATATATATAGCGGCTTTTATAACTCAAAATGATTGAGGCTGAAAGCGTAAAAGGCTGAAAAATAAGGCTAATAATTGGTCTTGGATAATTCTACGAAGTCGAGAAAATAATTTCAACGACACTAGAAATGACTAGAATAAGCGACTCGCGCTAAACTGGAATTACTTATAATCTAGGCTTATCTCAATTTAGTTTAAATAGACAAAAATGTCTAAATAAATTAATTATCGCAAATGATTAAATTAGACACTCACGTCTTATTAATCTGAAACTTGTCAAGCTCATATAGTAAAACGCAAATAAATGCATAATAAATATAAATAATCGAGATGTCTACTAATATTCGACTGGGGCGCTACATTCTACCCTCCTTAAAAGATTTATGTCCTCAGAAATTACTAACTCAAAATCTTAAGCAAAGTACAAAAGTACCAGCTACAGTGGACAACTCAAAACTGAAAAAGTTTAATACTATGTCCAAATCTCGTACTCGCTATTCCAAGTCACCTCGGTCTCGCCATGGCGTCTCCGCTGAACTTTGACGAACTACTCTACACGGCTCCTCAACTGGTGGACTCTTGGATCCAAAACAGCTCTGTAAATACTCGTAAGTCAGGCTCTATCCAACCCAAAACTCGTCAAAGTCTACCATGTGTTCGGGGTCGTGTAAGTATCTCATAGAGACGTGGAACACGTCATGCACCTCCCTAGAACTAAAGTGGTTAAGCCAACCGATGGCTAGGTCGTCAACTCGGTCGAGTATCTCGTAGAGACTGACAAAATGAGGCTGTACTACCTCTCTTTTTTGAAGGGAACTTTACCTCTAATCGGTGAGACCTTCATGAAGTCCATGTCGTCAACCTCGAACTGAAGATCTCTACTTCCCTTTTGGCAGAGGAATACTAATTGACTTGGGCTGCTTCGATCCTCGCTCAGATCTCATTGACCTGCTCTGTGAACTTCTTACTAATCTCTGGCCCAAGTTCTCTCCTCTTGCCGATCTCATCTCTAAGAAGTGTTTAACACCTCCTTCCATACAAAACTTCGTATGGAGCCATGCTAAACGACACCTGAAAACTATCATTGTGGGCCAACCCTACCACTGACAGGGATTCTACCCACATCATACCTCGATCAAGAACACAAAACCTCTACATGTCCTCTAGTGGCTTGATCGTACACTCCAAGTGTTCATCCGTTTGGAGAAAAATATTGTACTAAAACTCAATTTCACTCCCATATCTCGATACGAGCTACTCCAAAACAGTGAAGTGAACCGTGTGTCTCGGTCAAAATTGACCAATACGACCACCCCATGGAATCGTACAAACTCCTTGATGTGTACAGTCAAGCATACCTCTTCATCTATACTATCGTATGGACAGGCTGAAAGTGTGCACACTCGGCTAAGCGATCCACCACTAGCCAGATGGTATTGTTATCGAACCTCGACTTTGGCAAGCCCACCACAAAAACTATTGTGATGCACTCTTACTTCCACTCGAGGATCTCTAATGGCTAACTTAAGCCTGACACTTTTAATGCTCGGACTTCACCTTTTGACACTCCACACAATGGTCAACGTACATCGCCACATCCTTCTTTCATCTTCTCTATCAGCAAGACCCCTTAAGTTCTTAACATCAATGCACTACCAGAACAGGCTGCGTACAACGTGTTGTGTGTCTCCTACATAATCTTCTTTCCCATTTCCAACACCTTCGGGACTCATAGCCCCTCATCAGAGACAAAGGGCCCATAAGATATTTTTACGAATACGTCATTCTTGTCGGCTCGAGACAACTCTCGCATCCGACAAAACGGTCCTTAGGCTACTCGGCTACTATCTTCTCTCACAGAGACGATCCAGAAGACGGCTCCACTATCTCTATCTCTAGCCGAGCAACCTTCTTAACATGCTCTTCCTGTCTAGTAAACTCATAGGCCAACCCGCCATGACCCTTCCGACTAAAAGTGTCGGCTATTCCGTTAGCTTCCCTGGATGGTAGCTAATTGTGTAGACTTAATACTTGACAATTTCTAGCCATCTTCTTTATCTCGTACTCAACTCCTGAAAGCTCGCTCCGCACTGAGGACTCCATACAAACTAGCCGACTTCTATGTTGGTTTGTTTAATGGTTGGGCTATCTTCTAGAAGTTCTCTATAAAGCGACGATAATAGCCAGCTAGCCCCAAGAAATTGCAACTCACTCACATTCATCGGAATCTCCCAGCCACTCACCGCCTTGACATAACACGGTCCAACAAGAACTTACACTTCGAGAATTTGGCATATAGCCGATCTCTTTGAAATGTCTCTAAGGCTATATGCAGATACTACTCACGATGTCGCGCGTCTTGAGGATAGACTAGGATGTCATC